TAATGCTATAAGGCTGCTGATATGAAGCTTGCAGTGGACAAGGTTGTTGTAAATGCTCAATGGCATGTTCATGGATATGGTAATACCACATCAATAATACAGTAACTGGGGTGACTTCAGCTGCGTTTTTGATTTTATTTTGCAAACAAAAGCGGGGTCATAAACAATGGCCAAAGTCACTCAGGCGTTTATGACCTTGTTTACGACCCTGGCGTTTATGACCTCGGCGTTTACGACCCCGTTTTTGTTTGCAAAACAAAATCAAAAACGCAGCCAAAGTCACCCCAGTTGACAGTAATTAATGTTTATGGTAATATATCAATAAAGGAAATAGGAGTAAAAATCACAGAAAATGTCATTTATTCTACCTCTACATCATCTACAATGAAAGAGGAGGACTTCAGAGTACTGTTAGCAATGGATGAGTACACTCTGCATGCTTCAAATATTTTAAAATGAAGTTTTATTCCAAGTGTCCTGAGTAGCCCCATTCGATGGGTCTACTCGGGACACTCTTTTTTTGCTTCTGGCACCTCAGGAATAGCATAAGGAATTTTTTTTGAAGATGCCATTCGATAGCCCTTGCAAAGAGCTATAAAATTAGCCTAAACTTGTTTATGAAATGTTTCATGGTAAGAAGTTATTAACAAAAAACGCTCAAAACCGTCCCGAATAGCCCTGGTTGACGGTATGTAACTGGAAGAGTTCTACTACAATGCACCAAAACCTGGAATTATTTGGAGTTATTTTACCAAAAAATATAATTGATTTTACCACCCGGTCTTAGATACTACCCCAAGAGCTGGGGTAACAAAGACCATAACTTTTTTTAAATTACATAAAAACTATGAGAGGCAGGAGCCAGCAATTTATGGTGAGGGAACCTAGAGTATAGACCTGTATTTTGCATGTTTCAATTCAAGTTTAATTTAGCTAGTAAAAAAATGGCATCATTTAGAAAAAAGTGGTCTAAGTTACCCCATTTTACGGAACTGCAGAAATCTATCTCCTCCTAGGATTTTCAAGCTACAGCATCAAGACACATATCATTCATTGCTTAAAGACCTTATCTAAAACTGATGCAAACGGTTTTTAGAAATTCTCATTTTTGTGGGTATGGGAGCATTTTTCCTGAAATTTTCAGAAATTTTTTCATTTTAATTTTGCAGTATAAAATCCATACTATAACGAAATTAGAAAAAACATCTGCATCATTTGTAGATCTTTTATTTGCAATTCAAATGGTATATCTCTCATTACTGTAGCTTCAAAACTCTAGGAGGAGATAGGTTTGCAGTAACAATAAGTTTGAATGTTCAGTAAAGCGCAACAAAGTCCCGAGTGCCTTGAAATAGGCATTCAAAGTGACAAGGATGCAAGACTAGTCTGACTAGACGTTACTGGAGCTTAAATTCAGTCAACGATGGTGGGAGCGACTGCATGAACACCATCCCGCACAACAGCAGCCAGGTAACTAAAGAGCAGTGACTTCAGACTGTCTACTTATAAGCTTTTCAGCAAATTTTTGCCAATCTTAAATGTAAAAGAACTCCCCCACCCCTCCCACCCCTAACCCTTTTGTGATCTGTTGTGAATGCATAAATCAACATACAGAGATGGTTTTGGTACTGTTAGATGCGTTAGAATGTAAGCTTTAACTCTTTTGTGGGTAACTTACCATATACCTATGGTAATTAAAATGGGAGTAAAAAAAGCCCCCCACATCATCCATATTGCTTGTGGCAGCCTGCCAACAAGCTCGAACCAATCACACTATCACAGATTGTGTACGAGTCGTAGCGCTGACACGCTCTTACATTTGTGTGAGCTGAATTAAAAGCTAAGTACTCTGGAGCAATGGCAAAATAGCATTTCAGGCACTTATCGTATTCACTCTGGCAGCTCTAGCCCATGAAGACCTGTAGGTAAGGCCATGATACTGATGATAGTTACTAGTATCTTAGTTAAAAACTTGCTTTATTGACTGATTATGATCCACTATGCAGAGGGTGGATGCAGCGTCGGCAATATATGGATTTTTAAGCCCAAAGCGTTGCCGGCCATTTTAAAGATGCGTCGCCGGGTAATTTTTAATGAAAAGCCATTTACGCTGAGTAATGACGAACTATTTACAAGCCATGAACTTATTACAAGGTTGCATGCACGTGTTACCCCAAATAACTAATTTTATCCTAAAAACAGTCCGGTTGTACAGCAAGTGTCAACTGAACAAGTAATAAAGCAGTCTGACCGCTCTAATGCGACCGAAACTACGCAATCGAAAATATGTTGTTTACATTTTTTGCGGGAACTCATTGCAACTGATTTCCGGACAAGCTTCGCTGCATTGTAATCCATCCAACGTACCGGAAACCTTACTTTTTTTCTAAATAGTTGGCTGAAGACTGAGAAATATATTAAATGCAAGAATTTCAATCTAAATGTGTCGGCAAGATCTTCTGAAGGCAAAAATTTTGCCGATAATGTGTCGCCATAGGTCTTTAAATCTTCGTTCACTCTCTGCACAGTGGATTATGATGCCATTTACTTGAAGCAAATGCAAGATGGTGAAATATGATGGCAAAAATTAGTGTGATCATATATGAGCATCAGAGCATATGCCCGCCAATGCTTAGAGATGGAAGTGACTATGTTTGGTCATATACCCGCTAAAGGTAAATTTCTACAGCGCTTGGTAAAAATGTTTGTTAGCATTTAGTGGTTAGCAGTATTATGATTTAAGCCATGTTTTTCAGTCGAACGTACCTATAGTTATGGATGGTCTGGAAATATCTTGCCATAAAATACTAAATGTATCTACAATTTTTTTCGTCTTGATTGCTTCCTTTGTATGTGTTATAATACATGCATAAAAGAGCAATCAAGATGTTTTTAACCATCTAAATAGTGAACTTTCAATGTCAAAATCTGCAAATTTTTTGTACCTTAAGGCTTAGGCCGGCAAGCCCCCATATGATGATATATGATCACTTCATTAATTGTGATTTACAACTTATATACAAAAATTTTCGAAAAATGCTTACAAGTAAATATATCTTAGAATTGGTCATAGTTTTAAACACAATCATCAAATATTGCAATTTCATCGTATTTCTATGTCCGCACAGGAAAGGGTTAAAATGATTACTAGTACTACGATATAAAAACCAGAGAGGTCAAAATTTTTTATTTTGGGGCAGATGCTCCCCTTAACTTTATTGATGGCTTTTGATGCTACATAGATAGGAAAAATGTTGATGTTTAGGCCTATGACTTATGGTTATGCGCTTATGCCACTATTTATAGTTATAAATTTAAAATGTTTAATTATTTTGCTGCTATATCATTTTTACACTGTGGTGGAGCCTTGGAAGTTGAGGATTGTCCCAATTTACCCCACCCATCTCTTATTACCCCATCTGATGCCGCTGATGGTACTGAAAACGAAAATTTTATAAAAAGACACATTTGTGAACTGTGATTTCATCAATCAAACAAAAATACATGACATTAGAGCCACGAGATTTCATACCTACTAAAATTATATCATTATACGATTTTAGAGCCCCAAGAGCCACAATATTTAAAAAAAGTAGGACTTCTACCAACTGGTACCAGACTACCAGTGTGGAGTAATAATTTCAATCAGACAACAAGATATCTACAATCTACATCAATTAGTCATATACAATGACGTATTTGTCTTTTTTTGTCATATACAATCTACGGTACAATATAAAATGATTGACAATTGGTTCATAAAAATATATTATTGCACGAAATTTTGAAATGTTAAGAAATACAAATAGTATTACAGTAGTTCAAGTATGATCATGTCATTCATGTGTTATCAATCAATGTTATTAATCAATAGATTAAGAATAAATTAAATGGACATTACAGATCTACGTAATTTATTACGTACCTAGTACTTTCCAGTTTCCACTAAAATATAAAAGAACGGGCCACGGGGATTAGGATTATTTCTGGAAATATAGGCAACAGGTTACAAACCAGTATATACCTATAATCCCAAACAAACAAAACAGAAGGTACTTCAACTACCTAATGACTACCGCGGGCTCCTATACAAAAATACAGGAGTTTTCATACTCGAACGCCACAGTTGAAATTTTGAAGTTACCCTTCAAAACAATTTCTATTACTCAATTAAAAAACGTTTAAGCGTAAACTATAGTAAAATTATTACAGGCACTTGCTTTGCTATTCAAATTTAATTTTGCTAAACAATGTACACTAGTACAGCGAGACGGCCTGTCACACCACACCGGATATCAGCAGTGATGATACAGGCCATCATCAGCAGGCCGGCCTACCCATCACATCCATTGACACCGGCCATCGCCCATTAGCAGACGTCGTCGATTTGTTACGTCGACGTCGAGTGGCCAAATGTTTACCAGCGCTTCAACTATTTAGATATCTCGCACCGAAAGTCAAGTTGAACATCACCAAAAAGGTGGAAGGTCTCAGTTATCGAAAGTTTCTTGAATCAAAAAATCATTCATCACCCACAAGGGGCGGAAGGTCTCAATTGTCCAGCCCGCTGAAGCTGGCTCTAAGGGAGCAGCGTTAGCATCTCGAAGAGAAGAAGTGACAAGGAGGGACAGGTCACAGGTGAGAAGCAACAGAACCTAAGACACTCGAACAAGAGGTCGCTTACACGGGACCTCTGCCACCCGCACGAGCGAGACAGAGAAGGGAAATGTAAGGAATCCTACCTACATAATAACTTAACCACACAACTGAGACCTGCAGTCAGACACCGCGAGCTCAGCGGTGGGGCGCTCAGGAACCATCCCCCTGGGAACACGAAATTCCATAGGACTTCTGACGAGCACAGACACGCGTCAGAAGTCCCTCCTGAGGGGCCCATTAGCAGAGCCGAGCCGCATCATTCACCGTGGGAGATTCGGTAAGGACCGGGGTATATAATGTAGCTCTCTTGCGGAAATAAATGAATTGAAGAGGAAATAGTCTTTCACCATATTATACAATTTATTCAATTACATATTCAAACAATTTGCTCAGGTGATACACGTGATTCTGATTTGCGTGGACATGCGGCGAGTTTAACAAACATGGTAACGTCCACCGCCGGCAACAATAGGCAGGCGTTCAAAATGAAAAAAAAAACACGGAGTTGTTAAATCCGCCACAATGTACATACCCTCACATTCAAGGTAGCCTGAAATTAATGTAATTACCCTGGCTGTGTTTTGCACGTAGGTCGCAGTCTCAGGCCAAACTGAAGCTTTGCCATAGTATAGTATTCCGCTGCCCTTACTACGTGGCAAATTCCGCTAGAATGTTGCACATAACCTCACATTGCAGATAGACTTGCATCACCTCACATTATTGAACATGCAATTAAAATGACGCGAAACCCTCAGTCCATTGCAAAAGCCCTCACACATATACCTTCAAACCATTCATTAGGTTCAGAATTAAGTTCTAAGTGTGTTCGGTCAGCCAGTTAATGTCAAGGGATCCGTTAACATGCTAATTACTATCTCCATTATTACTGCGACGATGTCCTGTAGATCAGGTTAATTAATATATGTTAATCATCATTCCTTTCTTATACTGATATAATCCTCAACAGATGCAATTAAGGTATTACCTATTATTATAATTTACTGTAGATGTCATTGAGAAATGAATCAATATTTACCCAATAAATGCTAAGATATTCCACTGTAGAATGAATATACAATTAAAGTAAGATAACAGTTCACATCCTAACATAATTGGACCACAATTATTTTTGAACACGAAAAATATGGTATTATTTGGGATGGCGATGGTCAGCTGAAGAGTTCAAGGTTTTGTCCGACGACGTAGTGTCGAGGTGTCGGGTCGTCCAGACAACAAAATTAATATTAAATTAGGAAACATAAGCGCCATGGCACGCAAAAAGAAAAAAAAAACCGGCAGTGAGGCCCGTCCTTTGAGATTTTATAATGTAAGTGGAACTATTTTTAAGGAAACTAATACCAGACATATACATTCAGAACTAAAATTGAAATTACAGTAGAGATCGATTGAATATTGAGAATAATATAGAAAATATTCAACACAATTTTGTAACTTTTACCCTACAAGATATAAGGAAAACTTGAACCTGACTTGAGTGGCAATATTAAGTACAGAGATGCTTCATTAAGACCTTAACTTCCCTGCATTTCGCTGGAATTCACAGACATGATAGCGCTGGGACAAATAATGACCGCTCATAACTACGCTGAAAACTTACAATGAAAATTCAGAATCGCACTTGAATGTGTAACTACTTAACGGCTGGTACTGTCGCACACATTTTATTCACTATTACTTTTGATAAGAGGGAAGGCATCAACATGAGGAATCATTAAAGTGAATTTGAGCAAAGCGTTGTAACATCACATGCGTTCCCGAACATCAAAAGCGAGCATGACTTTTACTCACGAACCTGGCAGCGTGGGGGAATAATGTCCAATAGACTATGACCGTAAGAATATAGACTCTGACATCAGCTCCCAACATAACTACCAGCAGCCATAAGAGCTATAGAGCCGTGAAGTACTTTAATGTCAAAATATTAGGTATCAAATACCAACAAGCAGGTTGTCCAGTTGTTCATGTTTTATGGTAGGCATTCACTAGTTGCTGGAGTACCGACGTTAAAAAGACACCGACTAACTTTGCAATGCAACGGACCGCAGTTAATTACCATACTAAGCTATGCAAATATTTTTCAGCAATAAACAGTACTAGGTAGCTAAATGAAAAGAGTAGGAATTTACGCGCAATTTCCACTTGAAATATTAGCCCGAAGATACAAACAGTAACCCGACAATACAGAGAGTAACCCGTCAATATAAACAGTAACCCGTCAATACAAACAGTAACCCGTCAACACAAACAGTAACCCCTCAATACAAACAGTAAGTAATAGTAACAAATTGAAGCATCAATGCGACAAGTGTCGCAGCAGCCACACTAAACTTGTCTACTGGTCGCATGCGAGCGCCTGTTCTTCCTTGCTCCCTGCCGTTTGACTGACCAAAAGCTGGCCAATATTAACCTCGTCTCGAGATCGCAACTTGATAAAAGCTGCTCATAAAATAATAGTAATTGTACATTCTTCAGAGAAAATAATTTAAAACTAGACTACAAACAAGTTTGAGCGTTCTAGGGCTAAACTCTATACTAGCGTACGCGTCCGGTAGACCAATTCGTCTCTTGTCAGCCAGTGCGGCTCTAGAGCACGAGAACTGAGGCCATTCTAGATCATCAAAAAGAGCGGCTCTAGAGACGAAGAAGTGTGTAAATTGTAGAGCATCAGAACTGGGTTTACTGCTCTAGAGCATCAGGGCTATAAAGCAGTATTGTTAGGAATTTACCTCTCGGCAACGCACAACAACCATGAACCACATTTTTCATCACGACTTATCCCAGCATTGGAGCGACGCCATCTTTTAATGACAAACTCGGCCTTTTTCCAGGAGGAATCAGTGGACTATCGATGTTAAAAGAGAGCTGCGGACTTCTTTCAGCAGTTAGCGTTGAACACTCCCCACTTGTTCTTTAAAAGATACATTTTGTTGCGGCACATAGATTGTAGGTGGCGGGAGTTGACGTTCCCAGGGCAGTTTTAATTGTACTAATAGAGCGTTTCTTTGTATAAGCGGTTCCAAAATAGGAGGTAAATTATCTTTTACTTTTCTCTGAGGGGGGGGGGGGAAGAAAGAATAAAGCTCTTTGATATCCATTGTTCTATGCTTACTAATTAAATTTAGCTAGACAGTAATCTGTGCTCAGAACAATTTTAACGTTTTTTAGGAAGTTTAATTGGATAACTTAAAGAAAACATAGATTATTGTACAGCGAGCGATTAGCGGCCACGGGTTGACGATCATCGTTATGGTCTCGTTATTAATAAATGATAGTTGGGAAATGATTAATAGTCTAATGATTTCTTAAAAAATATTCCGACGACATTGACTGAAGAACGAACCCTCGCTACCAGCGAGTATCGAGGTCGTCGAAAATGCGGAATCGACTTTCAACCGCAAGCACTGGCAGACAAAAGATGATTACAAACTACATTTGCTTGTCGGCCAAGGCTTTCATGCATCAATCTACGAAGTAAACTTGATTATTCCCGTGAGAATAACTACATAAACACTCGAGCTGCCCATAATTTTGAGCTATACATGGAACGTGGCTTAATATTTCGAGAGCCGTCCGTACCACCGTCGTTCATACACAGGCAACAAACAATCAACCAACGCATGAGCATGGCCAATACATGAATGGCTGCTCCGTGAAAAGGAAATAGTACACAAAACCAGTCGTGATCCGGGCGTAACTCGGCCATACAAAAATTTTAAGTTAACGACATCTTATGAAGAATTTAAAATGCAGGTCTACGCAATTCATCTTTTCGACGGGTACACTTATTTGCATGGCCTTCAAGACATAGCAATAACTATTACAATAGAATGCCAACCACTGACCACTCTATTCATAGCGGCAGACTTAGCATCTGCAGCATCAAAATATATAGTGGGATATAGCTGGGAATTGAAGTGTACTAGGGGAGTGTATAAAGGTGTTCTAGAGCAGGATATTAAAGGTGATCAAGAGCAGAGTATAAAGATATTCTAGAGCAGGGTATTAAGGTGTTCTAGAGCAGGGTATTAAAGTGTTCTAGAGCAGGATATTAAGGTGTTCTAGGGATGGCCTGTAATGTGTTCTATGGCAGAGCACCAATGTGTTCTAGAGTGGGACCTTAGGTATACTATTAGAGGCACCAACCCTAAAGTTGTTCTAGAGCAGGGCAACAAGGTGTACTACAGCGAAAGTAAACTATTTTGTTCTACACTGGGACCTTATATGGTACACTATGAGGAAAACCTTAAGTTTTTCTAGAGCAAATCACCAAGGTGTTATACGGCGGGATCTTAGGTACACTATAAGAACCCTAACTTGTTCTGGAGCGGCAAATAAGAAGGCATCGAAGCTGTGCTAGTTCATTTTAGTCTACAAGGCGAGGCTGACTATTCTATTATTAAAACTTACATATAAAAGCAATTACTTGACTATAAGTAAAATAGATATCGTCATTAAACCTGCAGACAAGTATATTTTCTTATGTTTTGTGCTGCATTATATGATAGATAGGAAATATCCACTTAGGTTCATAATTACTAGGGTCTAGGGTCATAGTTTCCCGCTTGAGTCAAGCCAACTCACATTTAATGCCGTAATATAGGTACGCGCGTGACACGCCTTTTAGACCCGTATATATCAATCACAATTTCCGTAACGTGTGATTCTATAACATAGACTGCTTTAAACACCCTACAAGAAGAAGAGTGTAACCTCCGTCGAGTCCCGAGGCAGCGATCACACAAGAGTCGCAGTTTTCTTGCCGAAAATGTTGAGCTCGACGTTGCGACCGATGCTGAGCTCGCAACCCATCGCCCCTAAACTGATGCCCTTTTTACTCAACTTGATGTGCTTGTTCAGCTGAAATGACGGACCTTCGTCGTCGTCATCGTCGACTGGACGTTGCGTAGCGTCACCGTTCTGCGGTGCCGACGAGTTGGTTTGATCTTCTGAGGTGGAGAAAGGATCTTCGAGATCCTCGTCTCGAGTCCCGAACTCAAAGAGGTCTTCGTATTGACTATTATTGGCGCTATGCAACCGTCTGCTTCTTCTGTAGCTCTGGGACACACATCCAGAGTTGTTGTTGTTTTTGTACCCACCACAGTTGGTTTGATCTACATCGTCGCCGTCGAAATCCATGTCGTAATCCTTGTTGTGTCGTGGCTCGCTGGGGGCAAAACGAGGATCTTCATCGAATTTAAACGAATTTCTCTTCTTGTAGGTCGGGGAAATCCCACTAAGAGTTGCAAAAGGACGCACAAAAGAGCGGGAATTTTTTTGCGAAGACTTGCTGCTGGAATTGGATGTATTCAGATGCGTTGCTGTGTCAACATCGTCCTTGTCGAACATCGACAACTCCCGACATCGTGGCTCGGCATCCACACTTCCAAAATTGTCATCGTCGTAGTCAGTTTTCGAAACATCGTCATCATTCCCTAATTTAGGCCACTCATCTTCATCACATGTGATTAAATCCAAGTCTGTATTGTAATCATTGTAAGAACTTGGTTTACTGAAAACAACGTCATTCAAGTAATCGTTATTGGAATACGAATTATTCTTAAAATCAGAGTTTTTTCCTCCATTGGAATTTTGGCTGTGTTTAGACAAGTTCAAACCTTTATTGAAACCAGAAAAATCGTTTAAGCCGCTGCGAGGAGACGATTCGTACATAGAAGCATTCGCATCTCTCTTCTTAGGAGTTGAGAAAGATTTATCAGTTGCGCTGATTATCGGGTCGTCACAGTCAAATGGTTGGTAGTCGTCCAGAACGTCGGAAGAGTTTCCCGTGGCAAGAAGAGATGACTGCTTTCTAATCGGTGAACTAGAGAGAAGATTGCTAGGCTTGCCAGTTTTGCCAGAAGTGAAGGAGTTAGCCTCGGGATCATCTTCAAAGCTAGTAGATGAAGTGTTTTTTGCGTTGGTCTCTTTACACATAGGAGAATTGTTGAAAGTCTTGGAGAGCGGGCTTGGGGCATCGTCCCATTCGTTGGTGAAAGGAGCTTCGACAAATCCCACTGCGCCATCTTCTTTTAAGGAGTCATCTGGTTTTTCCGTCGATAAATCGGACGCATTGTAAGTTTGCCAACCGTTTGAGTCCAACTCCGTCGTCCTTTTGCGAGGGGAGTTACCCGACTTACGTGGAGACTCGTTGATAAAACCATTGCATGAAAAACTCTTGTTGGGATCACCTAAAGGTTTAATCAACTGAACAGGTGAATTGGACTTGCTGTCTACATCAGTTTTATCACCTTCACATGTGCTTTCCAAAAGATCTTCTAAGCTGAACAGCTCTACGCTACCAGCACCCGCATTTATACTAAGCGAAGACGTCGCCGACACGTTCTTCTTAGAAGAGTTTTTTAAATTTTCAAAATTTAGACTTTTTCTCACTGAGGAACGTGAAACAGGTTTAGGAGGAGTGTCCTGTAGGTCGAAGGTGCTCTGCTCGTTGATGGTGCGGTAGCTTGCGACACTCGCACACGACAGGCTACACACGTCGATGCCCTGCACCGTCGACACCAAACTCAGGTGATGCTCTAACTTAGCTCGTCGGTACGAAGCTCTGTCGAGGTATTCTTTACAAGGCTTCCTCATGAGCGAGTTGTTCTTGATGAACGACTCGGCGAGCTGCAGCAAGTTTTTGTTCTGGACTTCATCAGGGTCTGGAACTTCTAGGTCTGGCACGAGCTTGAAAGAAGCGCGAGGCTTGGGGTTAGGGGATGAGGCTGGGGCGCTGTCAGAAGAGCATCCTGGGGTGCAGGAGTCTGAACTGGACTCCAGAGCAGAGAAGGATTTGTAGCTGAGACGAGTGGAAGCGCAGTTCTGGGACGAAAAATTCCTTAATGAAACTGGGCGACTGAGCGACGGAGCATCGTCTAGAGACGCCCGTGACGAGCCTGACTTATTTCTAACAGTTTTGGACGGACTTGAAAGACTAGGACATGTTGGATTCTTTGAATTTATAGCAGCGGAGTCATCAAACTTAGTTTTCTCAATGAAATCAATTTCTTTAGGTTCAAAGAAAGAAGAAATGGAACCATGAGACGTTTTAACCTTCACGTTGGGTTCATCAGTTTCGTCCGAGGCGGACGCTCCACCAAGTGGAACACAAGAGATCTTGTGCTCAGAGCTCGTGGGGAACTTTTCGTCGGGCGATATAAGGTAGCATTGAGACTTGGTTTGTGCGCCGTCCAAAGACATTTCTCTGCAAGTTTTCACTTTCAAATAATCTAGGTTGCTACAGACTCTATCCCAGCTATTTTTCCGCGTGAATAAATGCTCTCGACTTTTAACAGGAACTGTTTTATGCCTCAACGCCATCGGCTGACAAGCGACCACACTAGCCTCCACAACGTCGGTTTGAGGATCATCAGCCTCTGACTTACAATCGTCCGCATCTTCTTCATCAAGACCAATTGCTGCGTCGTCACTAGAATTTCGGGTTGGAAATTTGACAGATTGTCTGGATGATTCGTGAAGTTTGTGTGAAATATCGCACTCGGCGTCGGGGTTTTGCTGCACTGCGTAATACAAGCCGCCATTGCTCCACCTGCTGTCCATCGAGTCCTTGTGTTGATCGCCCTCGGAAGGAGGGGCCGGGATTCTGCCGATGATAGGGGACTGACGGACGGCGCTATAGCGCGGACAGGATGCCAACTGCGATTTCCTGAAAATACCAAGAACTAATTAACGTCGAATTGATAATATTTCGCGTGAGCAACATTATCAACCAATGATAAGATTTTGCACCGACACGACGCTAACTCCGGCTTCATGTAAACGATAACGACTAATAATAGACAAAATAATCAAGAATATTTCATGAGAGCGACAATAATAAAGAAATTAAGAGATAATAATTTCGGCTTGAGGGATAATTTGCTTCAAGTTGCAGAAAAAACGAGTCACATTATTTCACCGAGCCACTGAAACATTTTGAAGAAATTGTCAGTTGCTGTGCAAACTCTTGAATGCTACACACCCCCACTGCAACACGTCATAGCCCTTCAGTCGGGCATGGATTAGACCATCACTGGCGCAGGAGTGGTCTAATCGTTGTTATCTGAGAACGCAGGTTCTCAGATAACAACGCAGAACTCACCCTAACGCAGGTTCTGATAGAACACAACGCAGCACTCACCCTAACGCAGGTTCTGATAGAACACAAGGCAGCACTCACCCTGACGCAGGTTCTGATAGAACACAACGCAGCACTCACCCTGACGCAGGTTCTGATAGANGGCTCTTGCTGAGGCTGCAGAGGACGCTGCTGCTGAGGCTCTTGCTGAGGCTGCAGAGGACGCTGCTGCTGAGGCTCTTGCTGAGGCTGCAGAGGACGCTGCTGCTGAGGCTCTTGCTGAGGCTGTTTTTCCAGCAACAGCGTAGAGGTGGCAGAGCGGCTGCTGCCTCAGTCGCGGGACTTGACAGCGACGAAGAATAGAACTATGCACAGCCAAAATGGATCTCGTGAATTTAATTTAAAAAGTGTTCAACTATTTCTAGTCGCAGTCAAAATCCTGAAAATATTATTTTATCTGCGAGAGAAAAGAAAATAACGAAGCATATAGCATTGATACACAGGCTCTTCAGTTATTGAGTGGCTGAGAAAATCATTGTGATTAGTTAGATTAGTTAGAACAGATCATCATCAGTTAGATTTTGGGAACAGCTGATCATCATTCGGCATCGATCATTCGAGTCCAACTCGTGCCCAGCCTATGGCCTCATAACGTTCAATGGAGAATATATTATACACCAAGTGCATACGCCGCCCGTACGACTTCCTTCACTTCATTTACTGGTCTTATTTTTGAGTCTGCCAACAGAAATGCAGTCGGCATATCTTAATAATTAAGGCAACTTTCACACGGGACTATCATACTAGGCAACTCTGATGCGGGAATATCATACTTGAAAACTCTTATGTGAGAACGTAACGAAACAAAGCGAGACATAACGAGATATAATAGTTAATTCTGAATAAGTAATTAGAATAATGAATTTTTTTCGACATTATCTGATCAAAATTTTGTCTGTTCACAACGTTTCAGGTAAATTACTATATGTGAAATGACATCGCCATTGCCAATCTAGCAAATTTGAAGGGCCATGATGAAATTGAAAACAAAGAGTTGATAGACAAGCACAGCGGTAGGAATTATAATATATTTTAACGTCATTTAGTTGTCGATTAGAAGAAATTTTTGCCGCACTGAACAGCTCACAAGTCCCTCAGTCCTTAACGGGTCTGTATAAAATTTCAGGTCGCCTTGGGTCTTGTCTGTTCTTGCCAAAAAATATTTCTAGTTAACAGTTCTGATTTGTGTTTATCGTCGTGCGCGATTAAAAGCTCAACAGCAACATAATTCACTAAATATTCAGCCATATCTACATAAATATTCAGCCATATCTACATCGCCAAGTATGTCCACTAATTTAACTGCCAAATTAGTTTGGCAGCCAATTATCGCCGTATTTACCCACAACAGGCAACTGCTTATTAACAATCAGGGGCTAACTTGGTATTCTTTAACCTGGCGTTCAGAATGTTTCGTTTTGTTTTCGTATAGCAAAGAATATCTTGTTTTGACATGAATATTATTAAGGACACGTCTAGTCCCGCTACGTCACGTCTCGTCTCGTACAGTTACCGGGACACATGTTTTAATGTCCGGTACACATGTCTTGTCCCGTTCATACGTTTATTGCGGGATAACACTCATAAATGTTACCCTCTGTACCGTTATTTCTTTCCCGGTAATTTCCCGTCTTATCCCGGTTAATTTCGAGAAAATTATTCCGAGACGCAAGAGTCTATCATACTAAGCAACTATTACGCGGAAGATCATACTTGGCAGCGCTAGCACGGGCACATCATACTATAGATAATCCTTTTCACGCTGAAATAATGTATATGTCAACATCACAATTGATCACTAAATTATGAACCAACGTAATGCCTTCAACCAGGATGCAGGACGTCTTTACATGCATTTCTACCAGGACAGGCAGAATCGTCCTTCGCTGATATCCACAGTCACACTATGAAGGCAAGGATAGGCTATGTTACTAACGGCGATGAATATGTTTTCCTTTCAACGAATAAATCCAATATTTAAATAAATGCCGGCATCCCACATCAGGCACGCATACAACACCACGTACAGGGCACGCACCACACCAGCACAGGTTATCAGATCTTCGTATACAAGAGTCGGTCACGTGGCAGACGACACTAGAAATTAAAGCTGACATGTCCGACCTCACGAGAGCCGTGACCTGCTCGACAATAGCCAAAGCAAGTATATATGGCCAACGCTGTGACAAGAAGCGGGATAATTAAAACATAGCCTCATGAAAAAAGTTATTGATGTTTTATAATCGACATAATCTCTGTTTTTAAAGCAGCAGCGATTAACGCATAACGGCTTGCGTATTTTATCGGCAAATATGACGGGACAACGCTCGGTCCGTTATTTCAGATGACGTCTACGTAAATTAAAGCACGTGACGGGCTGGTCACGTGACGGGCTGGTCACGTGACGGTCTGGTCACGTGACGGGCTGGTCACGTGACGGGCTGGTCACGTGACGGTCTGGTCACGTGACGGGCTGGTCACATGACGGGCTGGTCACGTGACGGGCTGGTCACGTGACGGTCTGGTCACGCGACGGGCTGGTCACATGACGGGCTGGTCACGTGACGGGCTGGTCACGTGACGGGCTACCGGGGCTAGTCACAGGCGGCCACCATAACCTGGCGACCCTGCAATACAAAACTTCGATGCCAGCGACAGGCTCAGCAATTCCAAATGAAAATGAGGCCGCAAATAAAAAAAAATGAGACTCCAAATGAAGACGCGACCGCGAGGTTGTGCGGCCATCACCCCATGCAGGGCGTGGCGGGAATTTCTATTCCACGGCAAAAGTTTATGGAACTTTTCACTTGCCTTCCATGACAAAAATTATTTGTGTGGAATTCATTTTTCGGACGCCTCATAAATCGCCCGGGGCTCTGGACGCAGTTTCGATAAGCATTAATAGCGGAGCAGGAAAATTGTATGACTGAAGTTAACGACAAATTATCGAATAAGCAAAAAACTCAAAAGAAAAGTTAGATTGACTGGCAATTTCAACAGGGAACGGCCAGAGCGACCGTCCACACATCATACAGAGGACGGGCAGAGCGACCGTCCACACATCATACAGAGGACGGGCAGAGCGACCGTCCACACATCATACAGAGGACGGGCAGAGCGACCGTCCACACGTCATACAGAGGACGGTATACGGAAGTCATCAAAGAAAAACAACTTGCAGCCTCGCGCACCAGCTAGCCTCGCGCACCCCAGCCTTGCGCACCCTAGCCTCGCGCACCCTAGCCTCGCGCTTTCTCAAGAGGCGCTAAGTTTAGCGCACGTAACGCACGTTTTTTTCTCAGGGCGCGAGGGAGCGACGGCAGCCGAACACGTGAGACGAAACTTGTAAAATTCATGAATTAAAGTCACCGCTTACAGAAAAATGCATCGTACAATGTATGCACACGGAGCCTATTGGGGTACTTAGTTCTTAATAAATTGGTAAGTGTACATTGTAAGATGATAAAATTCTTATTGTAAGATTTAAATTTGTGTTTAACTATGGCGAGATGTTCGTCAAAAGAGCCTGTGCAGACAGAGGACTGTGCAGACAGAGGACTGTGCAGACAGAGGACTGTCAGACAGAGGACTGTACAGACAGAGGACTGTGCAGACAGAGGACTGTGCAGACAGAGGACTGTGCAGACAGAGGACTGTACAGACAGAGGACTGTACAGACAGGACTGTGCAGACTGGAGACAGTGGTAAGATAATCTTGCTGCATTTTCCAACGCAGGTTAAACAAACAACCCATAGCATGAGCAGAGAGCGAGCGTGGCCCAGATAGGCACCATTTTGCCGGGCTAAACTGGGTCAGGATGACCCACACGCGGGTAAAATGTGCATCACATTTTAGACAAAGTCCCATTCATTTGTTTGTGTGTGCCATGCAGCCGCACCAACCATGCAGCCTCTGCGTGCCCGAAGCTTGGCTCGTGCCACGCGTCCAATCAAGAGCAGCACAAACACAACCAGCAATGTCAGCAAGGTCAACAAAGTCAGCAAAAGACGTCAACGAAATCAGCAAAGTCAACAAAGTCAGCAAAACACATCAACAAAGTCAACAAAGTCAGCAAAATGCAAGTCTGGGACTCGCGTGAGCCTTCTGACTCTAAAGCCCACGTGTTGCTCGTGAGGCCCGCGTGCTGCTCGTGAGGCCCACGTGCTGCTCGTGAGGCCCACGTGCTGCTCGTGAGGCCCACGTGCTGCTCGTGAGGCCCACGTGCTGCTCGTGAGTGTGCTGCTCGTGAGACCCACGTGCTGCTCGTGAGACCAACGTGCTGCTCGTGAGACCCACGTGCTGCTCGTGAAATGTTTAAGGCAATTCTGAAGCAAACTGCAGCTAAAACGTCTCGTGATCGACAACCGTGCAAGATTAGACTCTACAATTAACATCTGCCTTCCAAGCAAATAAATCTAAGAAAGAAGAAAAGATGAAGAAATGACGCAAGCAGCAGTAATAAATCAACTCGAGATGTTACCGTCTCACATCTCAAGATTTTAAAGCATTAGAACATTAATAGCTGTAATTATAGCTAGACTTAGCCAGCTTCGCAATGTTCGTAACAGACGTGACCGCACAACATCGCTCCTGACATCGACTTCTGCTGACGATAGCGCAATGGACCTCTGGAATCAACATCACCGTTGGTGATATCACTAATATCAGCACTACAGTTAGAGATATCACCATCACTGTTGGTGACATCACTAATATCACCGCTACAGTTAGTGATATCACCATCACTGTTGGTGACATCACTAATATCATCACTACAGTTAGTGATATCACTATCACTGTTGGTGACATCACTAATATCATCACTACAGTTAGTGATATCGCCAACACCGTTGGTGACATCACTAATATCACCACTACAGTTAGAGATATCACCATCACTGTTGGTGACATCACTAATATCACCACTACACTACAGTTAGAGAAATCAACACCAACATGGCTCAGCGCCGACACTCAACATGTACTCAACCCTCAAGTGATGAAGCAGACATTTTCATTGCATTTGAGCAGAAGCTGAATTTCAGCATGGCAATTCGCTGGTGTTTGCAAGGCAATTAGTTAGTGAATACTCGCAATAACTACACTGTACTTGTCACTATCAACTTGATTAAACGCGATGTAGACGCAATACCAAATAGTGAATAACATTCACTAAAGCAAAGCTTGAAGTTCCGTTTTCTAAAAGAGGGGGAAGTTGTATGATGAATTACAGTATAAACTAAATAGCTTTAAGAAAATTCAGGAGCAGCAAGACGAGTTTGAGTAGAACTGAGGTCTGCCTCACCAGCTGATTGTTTACACTCTGAGAATTAATGGGTAATATTGTGCAAATAGTGACGCACTTCTTTAGCCACAGCGCGCGCAGAGAGCAAACGTAGCCCTGATACGGGCCAAACTGAGTCAGGATGACCCAGGGCATAAGACATGCTGGTGCAGTGTCTCTAAATATTCTCCTAGCTCTCCTTATTATACTATTAACAGGCCCCACAAAGCTAATTTCTCAAACTAAAAACTAAAATCATTATAACAAACCCTTGTTTATTATTGCGTAACAATTAAAAATTGCCCCATGAGGAGTAAAATACCCGTTATTTTATTTTATCTTGTTTTTACAGTGAATTTAGTTAACACTAATTCAATTAACACTAATTCAATTAACACTAATTCAATTAACACTAATTCAATTAACACTAATTCAATTAACACTAATTCAATCAACACTAATTCAATTAACACTAATTTCATTAACACTAATAAGACATGACAGCTGAGGCTCCTGACGCGCATGCTCTGACTGCTTTATTTGAGCGCTCAGAACAATAAAGGGGTTATTTTGTCCAAATAGTAAGACTCTTCATTACCCGCGGCACAAATATAGCAATGATGCGTCTTTTGTCATGCCTAAGTGGGTCAGGACGATCCACCAGAGCGTACGAAGTGCTCAAGTGCATCATTATTTGGACAAAGTATCACTCATTCCTCTGTGTGTGGCAACACAGGCGTGAGGCCTATACGGTGTATATGTATACAGCCCACACAAGCTTGTGTGGCACTCGAGACAGATAGAACAGATATAAGAGGAAGCCTATACATGTATTATATATGAACCGTATATTATAAACCAACATACTTGAGGTTATCAACTCTTTAGATCACATCTGCTAACCACACTCAAAGAAATGAGTTAGATTATGTTCAAATAGCGAGGCACTTATAGTTAAATATTGACCCTCTACCCCCGTATGTCACTCTCCGGAAACATAACTTTCAACTTAAATTAAATTATACGTAAACTATTGAGTGTAGCAACCTGAGGACGTTTGTACGCAACAGAGAACATTTTAATGTTGTACGTGGCGGCAACCATCAGTGCAAGTCATTTTGTGCTCACTAGAACGTATCCTTTTTAGCGCATTTTCTCATTTATGGAAAAAATGCACTGTTGTGCTCGCCATGTCCGTCCGTCTGTCTGTCTGTCTGTCCGTCCGTCTGTCCGTGACCTCAAGTTTTCGTCGACGAGAAAATGCGCTCTCTGTCACTCACGGCACTGAGTACTGAGTTATATTTTTCGGGATGTAGGCTTGTGACAATATTAATTGCTCCGGTAGAAAGTAAAATAGTTATAGGTTAAAATTGAATAAAGTAAGTCCTCAAGCAACAGCGTGCTATAAGCTAAACCGTAGGTGGTTGAAATTACGGCATAATTGTTAGTTATTGATATCACTGAATAGTTTTCATTATACATGAACATTCCAGTCAGGACTCAACAAAATACGATCGATATTTATTTTTCAATGTTCTATAACAACAGCGCCCTAAGAAACCGAGCAGAACTCCAACATCAGAAAAGCAGTTAAACTACAAACGAAGTTTCTTAATATATTTTATGAGTTAATATATAATTAGGATTGCTAGAGAAGGCCTCATCTTCTACACGATACTTAAATTCCAGAAAAAAATTCACAATTGATGGCGTAAGCGTGGCCGAGGGTGCAGACGTTCAGAACTTTAAACAAGGCATCAACTGACTTACTGAATACATAGCAACTGTAACTCCATAGTGGACTAATCAGCGTTCTACTGCACACATGTAGAACAAATCAGCGTTCTACTGCACACATGTAGAACAAATCAGCGTTCTACTTCACACATGTAGAACAAATCAGAGTTCTACTGCACACATGTAGAACAAATCGGCGTTCTGGTTCACGTAATTCTGTATTTTAGGATTAACCAAAACAAATATTTTCAGTTGCCTGACGACGTGAAAGATGCCCAGAAAACCAGCTTTTGAAGAACAGCTAAGTTTCTGTTTTCGGAAACGTCGAGATATGTAAGAAACCTTCCTTGGTTCAGGACAAATTTTGGAAATAACTATTATTATTCTATCATTAATTAAGAATTTTTATTACTATTACTATTTTCGGAAAAGAAATTGGCTATCCTGATGTAACCCAAGATTTCCCAAAGGCTGATTTTCGGGGTATCTTTTACGTCAAGAATTAGGCAGCTGAATTTTTTTCCGCTATACCTGCTAGGCAGCTAGAGTGCTGATAGCTGAAGTGCTCTGGTCCACGCCGTTCATTTAAAAGCCGGCTAACAATATCCCGCATTCCTCATGTTATTGTCGAGCTGATCGGGTATTTTCGTGTGGGAATTTAAATAGGCTTCGTCACGGTGGCGAGATGGGCGGCTTTAGGCCAAGTCACCGCGGCCAATTCGTCAGGCTGGCGTCCCTACGAAATATTTTACATTTTGGGAACAGGAAATACAAAGGACGTATTTGCACAATTAGGATGCATGTACAACTGTTCCTATTTAAAACACTATCGATTCACGGCGTATATTTCAGTATCAATACTGAATAAGTATTTTTGATAAATGCATGATGGGAATTTTCGCGTCAAAATTCGACGAATTGAATAGGCCGTCAAAAATATATGAGGGCATTCGACCTAATTTACGTATGTTAAAGCCTTAAATCAACCTAAAAATCGAAATTTTGCACCGTAAATTACAAATTTAGTAAAATAAATTGAACTGATTGCGTTTTGTCCTTCTTGTGAGCTCATTTGGCCATTTTCTCTTTCTAAGCATCTGGCAACAGCACGTGCGTCCAACGGGCACTACACCGCACCGGCGACAACCTAACCAACCTAAGTTGAGACTCAAGTCTCTAGTTACAATTTGATTTCATTCGTTTATGCGAGACTTAAAAAAAATGCGTTATTAAAGCAAACGTTTCATACGAATAAATCACCAAAAGAGATTTCTCTTAGGTTAGCAACGCGCTGCTTCCTCGAACTTCGAAAGACGTAATTGCCTTGCTAACGTAATTCCTTGTTAAAAGTCGGGCAAACGAAACTTAACGGATACAATTTAGAAATAAGAATATCTTCTCGAGATAATTTAGGGAATTTAAAGTCACGTAAAATGATTAATGAATTTACGTGATCATCATTGTAACGATTAAGTAATTGAAGCCACATGCCGCTGCATGGGCTAGCCTATTCTTTTCACAGTCGAGCATTGAAGAGAAAAGCTCGAGCTTACGTGCTTGAGTCTTTGATCTTCGTGGTCACAGGTCACTTGTAAACGATGCAGACAAAACCTGAATTAAAAATTATAAAAAAAAACTACAAAAATGTTCGCAAACTTGTCTGAAAATTATTAAAATTAGATAACTAACTCCTAAGATGTTTCAATTTGAATTGACATAGGCAAGAGACTCGTAACGCAACACAGTTTCTCGGTACTCAATAGAATGATTGTTTGGTGAAAAAAAACTTCAACAGCAGGAATTTCATCCGCTCAAAGTTTCAACGAAACGTCAGGAAAAATTCAACACCGGACGTAGCACAGCCTCCCTCTCAGTCTTAGCTCCAGGTATTTCACAGTTTTCGAGTTAAAATTTTCAACCATTTAAAAATTAGTGAGTTAAAATATACATAGATTGAGTTAAACTTAGTTCTGAGCTGCTAGATAACTGCGTCTCACTAGATTATTTCATGCAAATAGACGTTCTTTGTGTGTTTGCGTTGTTTTCTGTCATATCGGGAGAAGAACTGTCCGACACACCACACTCGCCCAACGCTCAAGGGAAACTGAAGCAAAGTGCATTCATTCTCATTGAATGGGACCCAAAGGCGGTTGGAAGTATCGATTGGTTCAAAATTCTCCTTCGCACGATTTTAAGTTCACGATTGACTGAATTCAAGATCCTAGATTATTTGCACGAAAAATTCTTCCACAATAACATTCCTAATACTGAAGTGAACTAATCATATCACTACAAACAAAAACTATTTTTTAAGTGAACGCGGAAATTTAGCCTCCCCCCAAAACAACCTGCCGGGGTAGCCAAATATAACTCCCCCTTTCCCCCCTTCTAGTTTCCCTGCCGTTCGTTGTTCCAACTCTTCTTGTCGAGGTGGGCACTCAGAGGCGCTTATATGGTATATTTTTAGCATTGGACTCTCCATTTATGTTCTGTTTCAGTCTTCTACTCATTAATACATGCTGTATATTAGTCTTCTTCTCATCCATACATGCTGCATTGTAGTTTTCTATTATCCATTTCAGCTGTATTTTAGTCTTCTACTCATCCATATATGCTGTATTGTATTCTTCTATTATCTATTTATTCCATGTTCTAGACTTCCACTTTTCCTTCGTGCGCTATTTTAGTCTTCTACTCTCCGATGGGTTCAGTATGGGCGCCGTAGCAACCGATGGGTTCAGTATGGGTGCCAGAGCAACCGATGGGTTCAGTATGGGTGTCGTAGCAACCGATGGGTTCAGTATGGGCGCCGTAGCAACTGATGGGTTCAGTATGGGTGCCGTAACAACCGATGGGTTCAGTATGGGTGCCATAGCAACCGATGGGTTCAGTATGGGTGCCGTAGCAACCGATGGGTTCAGTATTTGCGCCGTATCAACCGATGGGCTCAGTATGGGTGCCATAGCAACCGATGGGTTCAGTATGGGTGCCGTAGCAGCCGATGGGTTCAGTATGGGTGCCGTAGCAGCCGATGGGTTCAGTATGGGCGCCATATCAACCGATGGGTTCAGTATGGGCGCCGTATCAATGGCTGCGGCCCAGCGCCCTAGAGCTGTACCTCCAGAAGTTTACATGGCCCGCTGGCGGGGTGCGCTACTGGGCCCGTAGAACTGAAGCGTCCGCTGGGTGACGACCAGCCGAGGCGGGGACAAATCCATGCATCATCGTATACTCTATCCTCCTCGTCCATCTCTTCGTCCACTCTATCCCCTTTATCCGCCTCATCGTCCACTATATTCCCCTCATCCATCTCTTCGTCCCCTCTTTTTCCCTCGCCCGCCGCGCGGCCTTGACCGCAACTTTTTAACTGCGCTCTGGCAGCGGCGCTGTCGCCCACCCGCCCTCCTCGCCCCACACAACCGTGGCGCTGTCGCACACCCGCCCATCCTCGCCCCACACAACCGCGGCGCTGTCGCTTACCCGCTCTCCTCGCCCCACAAAACCGCGGCGCTGTCGCCCACCCGCCCATCCCCGCCCCACACAACCGCGGCGCTGTCGCCCACCCGCCCTCCTCGCCCCACAGCCACCTCCAGCGGCAGGCAAGTCGTCCTCGCCGCCGAGGTCTCAGGGGCAGTCCATAACTACCCCGCCTCTGCCCTCAGTTGGGCCAGCTTATGCCCTCATTTAGGCCAGCTGGTGCCCTCAGTTGGGCCAGGAGGTGCCCTCAGTTGGGCCAGCTGATGCCCTCATTTAGGCCAGCTGGGGCCCACAGTTGGGCAAGTTGATGCCCTCAGTTGGACCAGCTGGTGCCCTCAGTTGGGACAGCTGATGCCCTCAGTTGGGCCAGCTGATGCCCTCAGTTAGGCCAGCTGGGGCCCTCAGTTGGGCAAGTTGATGCTCTCAGTTGGGCCAGCTGATGCACGATGCTGTTGCTTGCTTCTCGCCGCCGGCAGTGTGGCAGGGGCGAGCGTTGAAGAATTGTGCCCTGGAACACGTCCAGTCTCTTGGAGTCTCAAGAGTGAATTTTCCTCCTCTTAAATCCCTTAGCAAGACGTTAGATGGCTTCTGTCCAGCCACGGAAAGGGATCCTTACAGTAAACATTGAATTCGGACAGCAGATGTGTTGCTTATTTTGGGCATCGTGAACAGTCTCTCTCTTCTCTCATTTTGGTACGTCACAATCCTGAAGGTCTCACTTTAAATCAGTGGTTCCCAAACTTTTTTCAGGTTGGCGCCCTCTTTGGCTCCCTAGTGAATCTCTATAGCGCTTCTCCCCCCCACAAGACACATATAATAACAAACACCTCTTCCTTGATATTTAGTACGCTGCAATTCTAAAAAAGAAAGGTTAGACACGAATGTGTATTTCACAAATAGAACCCCATTTAGTAAACCAATATATTTTTTTACAGTTTTAACTGTTTCAGCAGTAGAAATTCAAGACGGCTGGGACAAATTTACGGCCGGACTCGTGGCCGGTCTCACGGCCAATCTCCAAATTCATTGGCCAAGAAATATCTCCCAAACTAATGAACGCAGCTTGATAAAAGTTGGAACACGTATTCATTAGGACCTAACGGTGATGTTTAGCTCGTGAAAAAATTTTAAATTTTGCCTTCATTCGGGAGTTTTATGGCGATAAGGGCGAAATTCGCAGTGATCAAAGAATTTCTTCCCAACTACTGAACAGATTCGAACGAAATTTTGAATATAAATTCCTAACTACCAAACGGTGATTTTTAGTTCGTGAAAATTTATTCGAGTCGGAGTCATGTTCCGCATATGTTGTGTACAAATTTGTCAAACAAACGTACAAACTTCTGACTTCGACTTCGCGGACTGCCGCCCCCCTACTGCCCATTTCTTCCTCACCGCCTCCAGGGGGGCGATATCGCCCACTTTGGGAACCACTGCTTTAAAAGTTAGTAGCCATTCCGGCTACTATATTCAACGTGCGCAGAATGATATGAGCATCACTCGCCTGCCTCTTGCGGTCATTACCGCTGTCTGGTCACCAAACTTGACTTGGGCGACCTCATCATCCCACCCACATCACATCATCAAAACTCCTACATCACCACATCTACACTCCTACATAACAAATAAGTTGCTTCTCTTCTATTTTGGCGTCGTCAGGTGCCACGTAGCGGTGTTCCATACCAGCTCTTCCGCTACCTCTGTCTCTCTGAACCTCAAACTTGGTCTCGTTGAACTGCATGTCGTTCACTAGGGCCCAGTCATGTATTGCAGTGAGGTCTTCTTGCAACCTCTCGCAGTCTCTCCTGTCCGTTATGGTCATTAGTAGTATAATGGCGTCGTCCTCGTATGATGATATCAAGGAGTGGTTTATTTGCCCAGCTGCCAGGAGAAGACCTCTCCCAGCGCGTAGCCTCTTCCCAGCGCCCCAGTTCAGCCCAGCAGATCAATACCCAGACCTTGGCATCTCTCGAGGCTCGTTTCGAGGTGAGCCCTCCCTCCTCATCTTCCCCAACCTGCTCACTCTCTTCCCCGGCCCCCCAAACTTCTTTTACGGCCTCTTGACCCACTTCCCAAGCCCCCGCTACCTACTTCTCCAGCTCTCCATAGCCTCTCCCTAGCCTTCCTCTCCCACTTCCTTGGCCATTCCCCTCCAAGCCGTTCTAATCGCGCCACGTGTGTTAGCATCAAGCTGTTAAGGTCCCCATAGGAAAATTTCCACTATTTTGCCTCCTTGTAACTTTACCTACGATTTGAGGTCGATTTTTTTCAGGCGCTGCACTTCAGACTTCTCATTTCCGGCACTGTATTTTAGGCTCAGCACTTCAGACTCCTCATTTCTCGTTCAGCAAATTCAGACTCCTCTCTTAAGAATCCGCACTGTATGCGTCGCACTTCAGAAGGCGCATGTCAGGCGCCTCCCTTCGGGTGCAGCGCTCTTCGCAGGCTCTGCTCAGCATATGAGGCTCTTCACTTCAGGTGCTGAACATCAGGTTCAGCAATTCAGGCTCCTATTTTTCATGCGCCGCACATCAGGCGCAGCACTTCAGGCTCAGCCAGAATTTAGTAACACCCTGTTTTCATTAATATAACCACTGAGTTTGGTTAATGAAATTTTGATCGTTTCAGCCCTGATTAGGTCGCATCTGGCCTGTCGCCTAAACAGCGAGGAATTCTCACTGTATGATGGGGGTTTTGAACCCGCACCTCATTACTCTAATCCTGATGTTCAAGCTAGGATTTAAGAAATATTCACGCAGCGGGTGCCAGCAGCTGAAGGAGGGGTGAGCTGTGGTGGTGCAGTGGTGAGAGACTCAGTCTCTCGCACCCAGCTTCCGTGTTCGAGTCCCACTGAGGATAAGTTCTTCCGGAAAGCTCATTTCATGGTCAACTCAGCCATTCATCCAACTCTGGTTGATGAATGAGTACCTGGCTTGTCCAGGGTGCAATAAAATGGTTTTGATTGCCCTGGCCTTGTCCAGGGCAATAAAATGGTTCTGAAGGGTCAGCGAGCCAATGATGGTCGTGGAACTACCACAGGCACCAAATGCCTGGAAAAAAACTGACCTATCACCCCCTCCCTTACCTAGTCGCCTATACCAGGATGGGCAATTACAACAATAACAACAAGGAGGGGTCGCCGCCCCGAACGAGGGCGCGCGGCAGGTAAACGCCGGCGCTGGGGCAGCGTCCCGTGGGACCGTAGCAAGCCACGTTGACGTCGGGGGACGCGTGCAGCAGACACACCAGGGCGGCGGCAGCCACACCATGGCGGCGGCAGATACACCAGGGCGGCGGCAGACACACCAGGGCGACGGCAGCCTGAAGTTCCGTCACGTTGGGGCTGGCGAAGACAACGGCGCTGGCATTGCCTCCTGCCACCGCCCACTTGCGACCAGCAGTCAGCGGCACGCGGCTACACAACACTACACTTACCACCAAAGTGTTCCCGACAAACGCGAATGGTTGCATGTTAGATTGTATACAAAAGGACTTATTATGCAATCTAGTTATGAGTTAGTGCTTCATACAGAAAAGTTTATCGTTGCTGAGAAGATTCACTGGTCCCGCGTAGCCCGACTTGAACAGTTAATTCTTATAGAATTTCATGTGCCTTTATGATACAGTGAAGTGTTTCAAACAAACGTAAAAGGTTGCATATCTTTTTATACACGTCTTGACTTGGAGTCAAGAGTCGCTGCGTTTTCCCAACAACTGTATATTTGGTATGAAGATCACAGCGTGATCTGAGAAGTTAATTATACTTGATACTCGTGCGCTACACCGCGCTACTGACAAGGCATTGGCTTCAGAATTCATCTACAAGCTCCAATGTGATTAACTTGAACCAATAAAAACGTTTGAAGCCAAAATTACTGAAGCATAATGTTCGGAGCCATCGCGTATTGGTCATCGTATGTGCCTCGTGAGAAGTGGTCGCATCTCATTAATTATTGAGCTCACTTGCACTCAATGAACAAATGATTTACGTGCTTCTTTTGAACACGTTTGGATTGACAACGGCACAAAATCCTTTGCCTTTATCTTCATAGCATAACTAAACCAACCGGGTAGTTGGTTTAGTTATGAAAAATTCTATATTACTAGAAAATGCGCTCTCTGTCACTCACTGCAGCGTGTACTGAGCTATATTTTTTTCCATAACGATGTTATGATTAATATGGACCATCACACACCTGATAATAGCCTATATAACAGTGGCTGATTTCTTCAATAAATCCGTAAATTCGAGTAATGATGATAGCGGCTTTAAATATGCATGTCTGTCACGCGAACATGACGGACGAATGTTTAATGTCAGTTCGTTTGAAGCGGTGCTGATTAAATGCCATCGAGCTTTTTTTTTGCTGGATCGCGTTCATCGTAAAGTGATTCTTTCAATGGAAGAATTTGTCATATAAATTATATCGCATTGAGTGCGTACACCGGTTTGAAGAGGATATTTGCAGTGGATGAATTTGATATATTTCCATGAAAGGCGGAATTGAGTTCAGGAAATAAGGATTGGAGTGGGCTTGGTGATGGCTTGTGGTCGTCGAATGCTTCTCAATGTCTCATGCCACTGATGCATAACATCTTCGTTTAGAGTAGAGTATTGGTTCAGCATACCAAGGGCCAAGTGAGCATACGTTGTAGCATAAGTATATTAATTGCCTTATTTTGATTTTCGCATACACGTAATTTTGATTATTGGAAATTAATGAATTTTAGTGCTAATGTATTTATTTCTATTAATAACCACCGTTCGTGAATATCCATTTCCACACTCGTCGTTTTATGGTAGCTTCACGAGTATGAGCTTGTCTTTTAAAACTTCTAAGCACAATTTGTATTAATTTCACCAATTTTGTGTCTCATCTATTTAACTATTTAATAAGTTATCATTGAAATTATAGCTCTTATTGTGCGAAATAACAGTAATGATTCCAAAGTTTTATCCCAACAATCCAGTCTTGTTTTAGTCCCAACGGGAAAGAATTTAAACGGCCATTGCCAACGCCCTGTCCTAGGCGTTGGCAGGGCAAGCGCCCACAAATTTGAGATTCCTACGGACAATTGTAAAGATGAGGAAAAGAAACGACCAATTTCGTATGTAAATCAGTAATAAAATATATAAGCTGAACATGTTGAGGAAGACCCTTACCACAAGCAAAAGGTTTACCTGATGAACTAGAAGATATCCAGTAAGATTCTAATATTATATATTAAACAACATTGATGATCAAATCGGACGTGTAAACGCGGCAGACATTACGAAGGATCAATGGTGAGCAGGAATCATGCAAACTATGGAATGAGTAGAACATAACACGGAACACGCAGGCTATGCAAACGCAAGCGAAAGAACGAATATTGGCAATATAACTCTTATATTTCCCTCCTACATCTCTGATGCTGTTGTAGCAACAACGCGAACATGTACGAGAGATGAATGCTCAACAGGAAGACCTGCAACAGGAAGCCCTGCAACAGCTTCGAAGCCCTGCAACAGGAAGCCCTGCAACAGGAAGCCCTGCAACAGGAAGACCTGCAACAGGAAGCCCTGCAACAGGAAGCCCTGCAACAGGAAGACCTGCAACAGGAAGACCTGCAACAGGAAGACCTGCAACAGGAAGCCCTGCAACAGGAAGACCTGCAACAGGAAGACCTGCAACAAATAAGTTTGAGTAACGTCCAGCAGGTCTATTTTGCCAAGCATCAACCAGTATCAAAACACCAGATATTTTCATTCCTAGATATGCTTCAAAAACATGAAGATATTATAACGTGGGAATAAAAGTCTATATATCTCTGAGTCATAAAACTTACGATACTTCTTAAGTATGGAGTAGCAATTTATCTATAGAAATGTATAGGTTTAAATGCAATTATCAAGGCACGAACATTTCAAGAAGTCCCAAGACAACATGCGTTCCTTTGAGTTGCTGGCACTTGACGAGGGTGTATCGCGGAATATCACTGGAGTGGTTATGGAATAGTAACAAAAAAAATTAATTGCAGAAATTGTGAACAACTTTACACTAGATAAGTAAAATAAGTCAGGTAGGTAGCCATAATATATAGCGAGAAATAATAGTAATGTGGCCATTATTTGTCATTAATTTCTAGCGTCATAATTACTATGGGACAATCTCGCGCCGTATAAGTAGAATAAAACAATAATCTACAGTGACATCTGAAGACTATCCGCCTCGTGTGATAGCCACGTGACGTAAGAAGGCGTGGTTAATTAAAACAATTCAACGACTGTTCATACTCAACCCAATGTTCGAATGATATATAGTCAATTTGAAGAATTCCCTACATAAAAAAATAAAACTTATAATACATTTGAGCCTATTAGCAGCCGAAAACTCAAAAATATCAATAAACTGCAAGGTTTCAGGTTCAGTTTTTCCGTAGCAGGAAAGTTATTTCCTCAGGATTTCAACACAACCTCAGGAAAGCTGGGGCCGTTTCTCAGGACGTGATAGGCTTTTTCCGTCTCTAAGATTCCTCAGCATCTGTAAGATGAGATTAGTATTAAACATGATATTATAATTTTACGAGATACGATTAATGGTGAAAGCTATCATGGCGGTCGAATAAATGGATTGTGCTGCATGATCCAGGGCATCACAAAATGTTTTTAATGAATTTAAAAGCAAAGAAAGCGCCAAGCAAATTCACTCAACCGATATTTGAGAGATTAATGCTGATATAAACACGTCACAAATGTAAGAAAACACGTCACAAATGTAAATGAACACGTCACAAATATAATTAAACACATCACAAATATAAATAAACACGTCACAAATATAAATAAAAACGTCACAAATATAAATAAAAACGTCACAAATATAAATAAACACGTCACATGTACGTCAAAATATCCTCGTACAAACAGGCTGCCGAGGCAGTGAAGCGGTCGAGCAATTATCTCCTGCATGCGTTGAAATTAATTTTTCCCAACCACTTGAGACCAAAACACGACAGCTGGCACCAGAAAAATGAATGGGGAGTGAAAATTGAAAAAATGTATATGGTGCATTCTTAGTGAACTGATGTGTTGCAAGAGATTTAAGTAATAATTTTAAGATTTAAGTAAAAATAATAAGCATCACTGACCTGCCTGTTGCTGCGGCGGCGCAAGTCTGCTCGCCACATAACTTGTCACAACTCTGGCGACGTTAGCAGCGATGGGCACCACGCAGACCTGCACCAGCTGCTGCACCCTGGGTCCTCCGTAATAACCTGCCACCGCAGGCAGGCCCGTCGTGATGGTGAACCTCATGGCGTTCTCCACGGCGGGGGCCAAGAGGGTGATCGTGCTATCCATCTTAGCCTCGGTTTCAGGGCGCGAGTTACTCCTGCCATAAGAATAACAATGTATTAAAGGAATACATACTATAAAACAATATATTAAAGGGATACACAAGATGAATAATTGTGTATTTGAGATACATAAAGTAAAACAATGCATTAAATAAATATGCAACATAAAACAATGTATTTAAGGGATACTTAACATAAAACAATGTATTAAAGACATAGGTATGCAAGGTAAACAATGTATTAAATGGATACATATGTAGCGAGTTACTACCATCACAAATATTGTTGACTCCCCTAGCTCACAACCCACTCTTTGTTCACTCCACTTGTTCTCTACCTCTTTTTAGCGCATTTTCTCATTTATGGAAAAAATGCACTATTGTGATCGCCATGTCCGTCTGTCTGTCTGTCCGTGACCTCAAGTTTTCGTCGACGAGAAAATGCGCTCTCTGTCACTCACTGCAGTGTGTAGAGTTATATTTTTTCCCATAACGATGGTATGATTAATATGGACCATCACACACCTGATGATAGCCTCATCGGGACGTGCTGTTTGCCGTTGATCATCTTGATGACATTTGTGCGGGAAGTGGTCTGCCTTGTGGCACAGCCTGCACGTCGAGTGAATAATGTGAGTGACATGCAAGTTCTTCGATCGCTAGGCTCACACGTTAATTTTGAAATACAAAATATCAAATGTTTGTGACACGTCTAGTGTAGCAGAAGTAGTGTAAGTAGAACTGCATATGCGTCTATGTGTACAAGTGTGTTGTGATGGCATAATGACGCAGGGCACGCTAGTATTGTGGAAGAAAAGTCGCGCATTCTTTAGGAAGCTTGGTGCTAGGCCACCACCTCTCAGACAATATTGTAATAAGTTAAGATAGGAGCACCAGACTTATAACGGAGCACAACTTAAAAAATGACAGACGAGTCTGTCTAGAGTGGAGACCTGACAATGAAGTTTTCCGCGAGAACAAATTCCATATAAAATATAATAATAAGGAAAACTAACAAAAAAAAAACACCCACTAAAAAACCAAATATGGAAGCAGACCAATGTTTGAAATAGATGAATTTCCCATTAATAAGTTTTCGGTGTTGACTGATAAAATATGTCATAATTTAAGTTTGTTTACGAAGATGAATTTCAAGATGAATTACCTCAAATTTGAGTGCAGCGGAAGCTACTGGATAAAAAATGCTCATAATAACGTTTGCAGATGAAATCACGCAATCATTATATTATATTTTGGCAGCTTCTTCCTCCTCCACACGAACGACCCAAGCAGCAGCACTTGCTTCACCAGCATGACACTATCACCACTCAACTCGTGCCACAAACCTGCAGGACCTCTTGCCACAAGAGTCATTGTGGCAGTGGAAGACAGTGTTGTTGGTAGAGTTTGCTGTCACCTTCTCTTCTATAATGACGCTGTAGTTACAGAACGGGCACGTCTCCAAACCCTCGAGCCCAGCAGCCATTATATCTTTGGACTGCCTGCGCTGTAGCAGCTCCTGAAACATCGCCAGCCCCAACACATTTTGAATGGCAGAATCAGGCATCTTGGAGGAGCAAGAGGCGTGTGGGCATGGAAACTCAAGTTTGTCCTCAACCATCAGCCGCTCTGCGTACCTGTAACACAAGACATTAGTTCAACTCACCATCCTGTGTCACTGATGGCAGTGGCATGACTCGATTCGAGTTGTCAGCCCTGGCCTAAGTAGTACACGTAGCAGCCTACTTACACGTAGAGAAAGATTTCTTGTCTATGTTTGGTGGGTTTAACTTGAAAGGCCGTCAGTGATTGGCTGACGAAGTTAAGAACTCGTAAGTATTTTTGATAGTTTGGCCCCTGGTATGGAATGAAGTACTCTCTGTAAGCCTGTAACACAACACATCAGTTCTAACACTTCCTCCTGTATCAGATTGGAAACAGCAGGATCTAGAGGTAACATGACGAGTTTGAGCCTTAGTTTTGCAAAATTTTATCATTGCATTCATATTCAAGTCTATGGAACATAAATTTCAAACACAATGTAGTTGCTCATAATTTCTTCTCTAGCTTTGATAGATTGTATAATTTTATATATTTTATTTATTTAATGTAGGGAAGAATGTTCATGTGCATATACATCAATAAACAATTCCTGTAACAGCAAACCATCAAAAGTGAAGTTGAGTGAATGCTTGAGAGATTATTTAGTAGATCATTGCTTAATAACACACAAAATAAAATGCTTCAGTAAATAAACCTGACAGCTTCAGATGTTGCCTCAGTCTCACAGTGTCCATGAACTTGAACTAAAAGTTGGCTTTGAGCCTAGAAATTCTTGACAAGTTTTATTCTTTAAGCTCACCTCAATCTTACTGCGGGCTTAACAATAGAGCTCAAGTTTACACACCAATATAAACATCACTTCCTTGGATAATCACTCACCATGCAAGACCTCAGCTCTTCAGACAATCAGACACCACACAAGCCCTCACCTCTTCAGACAATCAGACATCACACAAGCCCTCACCTCTTCAGGCAATTATACACCACACAAGCCCTCACCTCTTCAGACAATCATACACCACACAAGCCCTCACCTCTTCAGGCAATCATACACCACACAAGCCCTCACCTCTTCAGGCAATTATACACCACACAAGACCTCACCTCTTCAGGCAATTATACACCACACAAGACCTCACCTCTTCAGGCAATTATACACCACACAAGCCCTCACCTCTTCAGGCAATTATACACCACACAAGCCCTCACCTCTTCAGACAATTACACATCACACAAGACCTCACCTCTTCAGACAATCAGACATCACACAAGACCTCACCTCTTCAGACAATTACACATCACACAAGACCTCACCTCTTCAGACAATCAGACATCACACAAGACCTCACCTCTTCAGACATCACACAAGACCTCACCTCTTCAGACAATTACACATCACACAAGACCTCACCTCTTCAGACAATCAGACATCACACAAGCCCTCACCTCTTCAGACAATCACAGCAGCAGAAGTGTGGAGCAGCATAATCCTCATCACAGACCAGCATTGTAGTCACTGGCTTGTCAACCTGGCAGGAGCAGCACTTGAGTGTGTCACACACCCGTGGCTGTCAACAGTGTTCATTAGCATCAAGCATACAAATTTTAGACATGTTATATGAATCACAAGCATTACATGAATGCATACTAATTGAATTATTCTCAAATGAGCAAGCCTATTAACCATATCTATTGCTCCTATTACGTTTCATTTTTCAATGAGGTAACAACAAATGTTTGAAATAAAACCATGGTTAATATTACTAAAGTTTCAGAAAAAATTGTTTGCAAATGAGCACATAAATAAATGAAGTTCAGAAAAAAAACACTTTTTGTAGTTAGCATGAAGTAAAAATTTCAGCATAGAGAATTTATAAAGCTTTGGCTTACTCTAGAGGCAATTTCATCCTTCACCTGATGAGCCAAGGGAAAATCTTGACCAGCACTGAAAAGATTTTCATCAAAGTCTATTTGATGAGCAAGCAGTGCATCTGCTTCCACTTGGTCCAGCTGATCTTTGAGTTTTGCTTTTGTCTCCGTGCCTGTCTCATGTGATCCGACTGCCTGACCAGGAACCACAACTTGCAGAGCTCCCGCAACCCATCTAGCTGAAGTAGATTCCATTGCAGCTGCGGCTGATAGCTGCTGCACAGTTTTATATGCAGCTTTGCTTTCATCACATGAATCAATGATGGTCCAAGCAAGACCTTCCTTGCATTGAGCAGGTTTGTCTACCCTCAGTTTCCGGTACTCAAAAGATAGCTCATAGATGAGGTCCTTGAAGGGTTTACCCTGGAGTAATGCTGTGGTAGATCTGAGAGAAAGAATGCAACATTTCCTAAGTACGGTATCATTGTCGATGCACATTAATTGATAGTCATAAATCAAGGGATTCATTCCTTCTTCTAATCTAATCCTTCTAAAGGTACTGAGCACTTTGAAGCAATATTTTGAGTATAAGGTTTAGGACTGCAAAAAAAGTTTTATTATCAATGATATTCATTTTTAGCTTGGCAAAATCTTTCTAATCTTCCTCATTCAGGTATGATCATCTGATTTAAAATCACAGAGATATTATAAATAGATAAGATGATCTGATTTCCTGCTCAATAGTCTCAATTCAAATATCCTTCTGCACACAAGCCCTTAATTTGATTGGCCAAAGGCTCCATTTAGAATTTATTAAAACATTTCAGTCTCCAACAATTCATTCAAGGAATGAGAAACCCAGACTCTCAGCTTCACACCATTTATACGTACTTAAAAGACAGAAGAAAAGTTGTCATGTTTAATCCTTTGTGACTTATTCACAACCTTGCAAAACAGTCATTAAAAAACTATTAACTATAAATCTGAAAATGCTATAAGGGAGAACTGACCTGTGAGTCAAATAAGCAGGATCAAACCCAGGGAATTGATTGATGAGCGTGACCACATGTGCAGCCACCAATTGGTCTATTTCAGCCAGTTTGCCTGCTACATCCAATTCTGTACCATAGGTGTCAGAAGCAGCAAGACTTTCAGATGATTTTCCTGTGTAATTGGTTGCATCTTCTTCTACAGTGACATTTTTTGTTTGATGGCTCCTGTCAACATCAAACAAATTTTTTTGTTTAGGTTTGGCTCCTTTGATTTGTAAGCTTATCACTTGTGGGGGAACTGATGCCATAACCATTTCTAATGGAATGTTTGTTAGTTCATCACATGAAGCATCAGTTACAGTAGCAGAAATATGATTTTCTCTAACTTGAGGCTCATCACATAGCACAGATTCATGCGCATCATTTCTGGTGAAAACCGCAGCTGCGTTAGAAGTTATTGAGGTGATAGGGTATTGTCTACCAGTCCCGTTCAGTTTTTCTTCTTCAGATACCGGTAGATATTTTACATTCATTTTATAGAAATCATCACAATTAATATTGCAAGGCTGATGGATCTGGAATGCGCTGTCATCAATATCATAGCTTTTATGTCTTTTTTCACCAAGGTCGCTGTTGCAAGTAACCACACATGCATCAGATTGTCCATAGCACATATAGTCATTATTATAGTCCAGGAATTGAGATGGCACATGAGCTTTCAGTTGCAGAACTTCAGAATCATTTTGAACTTCTTGATTGATGTCAATACTAATATCAAAAGATTTAAGAAGATCAGCCTCATCCAATTTAGAAAAGTCTGCAACTTCTTGCTGCTGAGCAAGCACAAATATGATAAGTTCTGAAGTTAGTATTTCTAAGATATATTCATCAATCAAGCCTTCTTTTCTCATGTCTGCCACGCGATGGTAGAGGCGATCCTGATCAATGAGGCTGTAACAGTTGGGCCCACATTTTTTCTGTACTCCCTTGGTAATGAGAGAGATCAGTTCAAATACATCCATCATGTTGCAACCATACAGGAATGCCTGTAAAAATCTGTAATCTTCTGCAAAGGACAAAGCATATCATGACTACTTATATCATTAGTCTGCTTATATCGCAAGTTCACAAGGAATTTAAAAGCAAAGAAAACGCCAAGAAAATTCACCATATCGATATTGAAAATTACGTAGATGCACAGCGTGCACAACAGAACTCATAGACCAGGTTTGATCGCATCCGAGCAGGAATAACGTCCTTATACCTGAAGAAAGAACCAATTTTGAAATTATTTACCAGTAAAACATGCAAATTTATATTTGGGAAATATTTCAAACAAAGCATTTTTAATTCTTTGGACATAGTTTCAGACGCACTACCAAAATAGGGCAATGTGCAATAAATAATTTTCTTACTATCGCATTCAGTCACAGTTTCAGAAAATTTGTTAGATAAGAAGCGTTTGATTTTACTATACACAAGGCACGATGGAAAACCATTAAGCTGAAATATATTATGAATGAAATCGAATTCCAAATGCATATCATGCATATCGAATTCCAAATGCATATTTCCATCGTGCCTTGTGAAGAAATCATACATTTACAAGCTCTAAAAATTTTTCCCAAACAATGTTAAAAAGTGATATTTCAAAAATTTACTCTTTTTAGTTTTAGGTCTGCTGTAGAATAATATTTACCATATTAAAAATTTTTGCTTAAAAAAAGTTGCAGACAGGTGTTGGCTTTAAAACTTCATTTGCAGATTTATTCTACCTGAAGGCTCAATCCAAGCCATAATGGCAGCGATTTCCACATGACGGGGTATTAAAGGACACCTACCGGCAACCTGGGGTGGGTCCCGGTGGGACACAACTAAAAACACATTTACAATAGTACACTTGTTAGCGAAGACTCCAATTAATGAAAAAATTGTTAAACAACAAAGAATTCTTATTACATTTACCTTGCTCAGTGAAAAAAATTTCGTTCGAACAAAAAATGCACCATTCTGCACAATTTGCAGTGAATGACAGAGAGCACGTTTTCTTGTCGACAAAAACATGAAGTCACAGACGGACAGATGGACATGGTGAGCACAATAATGCATTTTTTCATAAATGAGAAAATTTGCTAAAAAGGCTATATGGCTGCTGATATGAATATAATTCATATCAGCAGTAATTTTTAGTAATTTTACACCAGCCTGTTCTCTGTCAGAACTTCAAATAGTTGTCGTCAGTGCATCAATGCCACTATTCCTGTTGAGTTCATCCGGTAATCTATTCTGTCAAATTGAAATAAATGAAAGCCGTTGAACCTTGAAGACTATAAAAACATAGGCTATATTTACATTACTTACCATCAGAGTTCAGTTCAATCATGCGTTAAATTAGCAATAATACGAAAATTTATCTCCCTGCCCGACGTCAACTTTCACTCAGCCTGGACCTGTAGAGTACAAGAAGGTTCTCACGAGCTGCCGACTGACCTTTCAGATCAGACTTCTTCTTCTTCTATCTGCTTTCTGAGGACTTGGTTCACCACTCGCCTCACGTCTGGACAGGCAGCAAGGGTTTGGCCGCACAAACCTGAGGGCAAAGGCCTCGGTAAGTTCGCAAATATGAGATGTTATTCTGTTAGTTCATTCAACTACTAGGTCCCGGAATTAGTGCTACATGCATGTTAGTAGCCCTTACTTAACTGGAGGGTCTACCCAGACAGAGGGCCAGGGCCAGATGGTCCAGCCTGGGATGGCGCAGCCTGGAGCATCATCTTTATTGGGTACAGGGGAAATAAGTATTTTGTTCAAGACCTGCTGATGCTAATCTTCTAATCTACTTGACTGCCACCATCAGGGTCAAAACTCAACAGGGGAGCCTCCTGTCTGGGGGATTTTGTACACATCTTGGAAAGGTCCTGTACAGGAGTCACATTTACAATTAGTCATGTGATGGGGAGGATCCTGCCAAGACTGTCATGCTTCAAAAGCATCAAAAGGATGGTTGATGACCATTAAATTAGTGATTAGCTGGAACAAACTACATTTCTTTCAAATGCCCAGTAGCAAGAAGGTATTTAGTAAAGGCACTGACTATTGCGAACTGAACAGGAGGAGGGAAATCCCCTCCTCCACACAAGTTTTGGACTGTTATGGAGACTCCAAGTTCATGGAGGGTTTCCTGCAGCTCAGTCCGAGCCATAGCATAAAACGGGCATTGTAGTAGAAAATGCACTATTGAGTCTACTTCCCCACACTGACAAAGGTTA